AAATTTACGAGATTCTCATACGCGGTAACGGCGTTATATTTAACAGAATCTGATAATGACGTACAAAGTAACACATAGACGGTAATTGTGTTACATTTGACGGAATCCGAAAACGACGTAACGTGACTTAAACTTTTATCTATAGTGTTTTTTAAAAAAATCATATATAAATATCTAAACTTTTACAAAAATCACAAATAAATATATTAACTATAAAATTTTTATATAAATATCTGAAATTTTTAAAAATTCTATATAAATACATTTTGAAATTTTTCCAAACAAACTCAAAATTCAGGTACTTCTCGAATAAAAATAATCGATGCTACTAACAAATTTTAGTTTATTCAAAAAAATTAGGTATTTTTGTAGAATTTTAAAAAATTCAGTTATTTATACGAAAGTTTTATATTTCAGGTATTTATTTGAGATTTTTATAAAAGTTTAATTATTTAAATACTATTTTCTTGTTTTTTAAATAAAAAATCGTAATCACTATTTGTTTGAATGTGCACCGAATAAATCTTCAATTTGATATAATATTCTATAAAACACACGAGAGTTGTAAAACCAGTTTAAATTGTTTTCGTATTTTCGTTTCCTAGAAAAATTCCCTCTTAGAGAAAATTCACACCCATTTTCAAGTCACTCATATAAAACAAACAAAATGAATACAAAAGAGGTCATCAATGTGCAAGGAGAGTTTTGGTATTTATTTCTGCTACACTACTAAGGTACTTTTGGTAATAAAAACATCAATTTCAAAATATGTACTATACAAGTATATTATCTTTAAAATTATTAAATAAATATACCAATTTTTCTAAATTTACAAGATTCTCATACGCGGTAACGACGTTATATTTAACAGAAACTGATAATGACGTATAAAGTAACTCATAGACGGTAATTGTGTTACATTTGACGGAATCCGAAAACGACGTAACGTGACTTAAACTTCTATCTATAGTGTTTTTTTAAAAAAAAACATCATATATAAATATCTAAACTTTTACAAAAATCACAAATAAATATATTAACTATAAAATTTTTATATAAATATCTAAAATTTTTAAAAATTCTATATAAATACTTAGATTTTTGAAAATTTCCCAAACAAACTTAAAATTCACGTATTTTTTGAATAAAAATAATCGATGCTAGTAACGAATTTTTTGTTTATTTGAAATGTTTTTCAAAAAATTTAGGTATTTTTGTAGAATTTTAAAAAATTCAGTTATTTATACGAAAGTTTTATATTTCAGGTATTTATTTGAGATTTTTATAAAATTTTAATTAGTTAAATATTATTTTCTCGTTTTTTTACGTAAGAACTCGTAATGACTATTTTTTTTGAATGTGCACCGGATAAATCTTCAATTTGATATAATATTCTATAAAACACACGAGAGTTGTAAAACCAGTTTAAATTGTTTTTCTCTTTTCTTTTTCCAGGAAAATTCCCTCTTAGAGAAAATTCACACTCATTGTCATGTCACTCGTATAAAACAAACAAAATGAATACAAAATGGGTCATCAATGTGCAAGGAGAGTTTTGGTATATATTTTTGCTACATTACTCAAGTACTTTTGGTAATAAAAACATCAATTTCAAAATATGTACTATACAAGTATATTATCATTAAAAATTTTAAATAAATATACCAATTTTTCTAAATTTACGAGATTCTTATATGTGGTAACGACGTTATATTTAACAGAATCCGATAATAACGTATAAAGTAATTCATAGACGGTAATTGTGTTACATTTAACGGAATCCGATAACGGCGTATAACGTGACTTAAACTTCCATCTATAGTGTTTCTTATGACAGAATTGCCATCTGTGTTCCGGATAAACCTCCACTTCCATATAATAGTTTATAAACAAAATAAGTTATATAAACCAGTTTAAGTTATTTATAGTTAGCAAATTCACATATGAGAAGATTAAAAGGATTCGAACTCCGATCTTAAAATTAAAGAACTTAGTATTCAACTAACTCATTTGGGTTTCTCCTCCGTCTACAGTGTTATGTAATTGTAGGCAAAAAAGCTTTATCACCGTTCTTTACCAAGTGATACTTTTTAACATAATTCTTTTATTTCTCTTAAAAACATTATATCATACGTGTTAAAAATATATATATCAAACGCTGAAGGTGATATGCTTTTAATAATAAAAATACATACAGTAATAAAATTCATTACGAAGTTTCTATTTTATTTTGGAAAAAATACCTAAAAATTCATAAACTTATAATTTGGTTTAATATTAATTCATGAACATGTAGGTGCGCCTATTTATTCTCGAACTTATATTTTTTAATACAATAATTCTTAAACTTGCTTAACAATTCATAATCGTCTATACCACTAATTGATCAAAACAAAGTTTAGGAATTACTATGTTCAAAAATGCAAGTTTAGGAATTATTATGTTAAAAAATACAAATTTAAGAATTACTGTATTCAAAAATGCAAGTTCGGGAATAAATAAGCGCAACTACGAATTCAGGAATCAATATTACACCAAATTACAAGTTCATGAATTTTCAAGTATTTTTTTCTTTTATTTTCAATAACAATAAAAAATTTATAAATTGAGTACAATGTTAAAACTATATAATAAAATAAGATTTATTAAATGTCAACATTTCAGATTTAATTATAATTCCGCTTCAAATGCAGACGTTTCGATACAGACTCTATCTTTTAGAAAATAATGGTTTAAAACACTAATATTTTCATTTTAAACATATCGTTGATGTTTTTTTGGTAACATTTAATTTGGATCCAAAAAAATAAAAATTTGATGACATAGACATAGAGATAAATTATACCGTTTTTTACAAATAAAATAATATAATTTATCATAATTCTGAAAATAGTATAAATCAATGGAGTATCGTTAGTATTGTATTCGTAAATTCAACTGCAAAATTATGGTTTTCCTCCTGTGGTACACATTTGCCATAAAATTGGTGAAAAAATGAATGATATTCCGATATTTTTTTCTATACAACATGTTAGAAACAATAGAATAATTTTTTTTTATAAAATTCAATATTAGTAAAAGAATGTAAAATCTCTGTGTCGTAGCAATTTACATGTTAATAATGTTATTTCAAAATATACATTGAATGGTATCATCCATATATGTAATTTTTTTATAATGCGAAAATTCGGGTTAATGCTTCTCTTCGTATTTGGATTTGAATTCGGGATAAAAAATATTTTGCGTATTTTTTTATTACTAGTTCACCCAAACTTAGTATCATATATACAATTTGAATGTGAAATAAATATAAAATACATTTTTAAATGTATTAACATATAGTTTTATATGAACTTGATTCTAAAGTGTTTTGAGTGTGCTATTTTCATTATTGTTATCACTAAGTTAAAATAGTTTTCGTTTATTATGTTATGGTAATTAATAGATTAATTAATTTTAAAATTAGACTTAATAGCTAATAGTGTGGAATTCACTTGTTTTTCTTACAAACAAAGCTTTTTGCTTGCAGTTTTTTTTTTTGAAAAATCTAATTAACTCCATTCTATATGTGATGATTGTATTATGTTTAAATAATAAAGGTAAAGTATAAAATGCCAAATTTTCTTTATATGCATCGTCAAATTTTATGATATTTTTTCCAACAAATTTTCTAATAATTTGCATAGCAAAATATTGATTTTTTTTTTTGTTGGAAAAATTAGTGATGTCAATTGGGTTGGTCTAACCCATTTGGGTCCGACCTATTTAGATTTGAAAGATAAACGGGTTGGTTTGAATCGATCCGTTAATAATAATAGGTTAGGTCGGGTTGATCCATTAAACCCGTGTAAATCATATAAATCCATTTATATATTCACAAACAACTTATACATATGTATAACTATTAATATGCATACTCATATAACCTAGTAATTGTCATTTTAATATTCGATTCGATTTATTCTATTCAATAAAAATATATACAAAATCAGATATTATATTATATTCGATAGTTTATAAAAAAATTATACATTTTTTTTAAAAAAATCAGATTTTTTTGATTTTTTTAAATTCGATTTGATATTTTAGAAATATTTTTCGTTTAGATTTTTTGAACGGTTCGGTTCGAAAACGACATCGGTTTTTTCTATACGATTCGATTTGGAAATGGTGTCGAGTTTTCCGTTATGATTCGAATTTTTCGATATGATTCGATTCAGAACGGTATACGTTCGAATTTTTCGGCATGATTCAATGCAAAAAGGACACCAAGTTTTTCGGTACGATTCGATTCGATTCAGAACGGTATCGAGTTTTTTATACGATTCGAATTTTTTGGTACGATTCGATTCGGAAACGAAAATGAGTTTTTCGATACGATTCGATTCGGAAACCAAACCAATTTTTTCGGTATGATTCGATTTGGAACGGAATCGAGTTTTTCGATACGATTCGAATTTTTCGATACGATTCGATTCGGAAACAAAACCGAATTTTTCGATACGATTTGATTCGAAAACGATAACAAATATTTCGATTTAATTCATATACATATATATATGTGTATATATAAATATATATATATGTTAATTTTTATATATCTAAATATAACAATTTTAATTAGTTATAAAATGAGTTTAATTTTAACTAAATATATAATGGGTTTAATGAGTTAACTATTTGATCCATTGATTTAATGGGCTAAAATCCATTTAATCCATTTTAAAAAATTAACCCATTTAGGTTTAGAAGTCATGTATTGAGTTATACGAGTAGAGCCAACCCGATCCATTTGGTTAATGGGTTCAAAAAAAAATTATAGTCATGTATTTTGTTGATAGTAATTACTTACAATGAACAACGTTGACTCGTATTATAACATGTACATACACCCCCAACCGCAACCGCACCCCAAACCGCAATCGCGATGGCAACCGCAGCCACCGCGACTGCCACCGCAGTTTCATGTTGACCGGACCCAGTGGAAAGACTTCTCTTTTCCAAAGAAATTAGTATGTATGTGTGCATGTATCTATAGATGTTATGCAAGATGAAGAAGATACGAATTGTTTCTGAGTCTAGACGGTAGAGCCATTGTATCATGTATTTCACCAACCATTGTTCTTCGTTTTCATCCCCAGAAAGACTCTAGCCGCCTCCTTTTCTTCCCCTAATTCCAAAGACAAATTAATTAGCTTTTAGATAAAAGAGGTCAACCCTTGAAATTCTTAATCGATTCCTTCGATACCCAGAGTCGGGATCGATCTCGTCGACCCTTTTTCCCCCTCCTGTATAGCTAAGAACCCAATAAAGGAAAAATGTCGTCGGAGATTGAGGTGGTGGAGGAAGAGGTCCAACCGAATTCAAGGGAAAATGGGCAACCGAGTTCGAAAGGGAATGAAGAAGAGAGCTTGAGGAACGATGTTTATACTGCGGCTGCGTATGGAGATTTGGAGAAGCTTCACAGATTGGTGGAGTGTGAAGGGTGCTCTTTGTCGGAACCTGATGGCCTTGGTTACTACGCTCTTCAGTGGGCTGCTTTGAACAATCGCACCGCCGTTGCTCAGTACATTATCGAGGTTTTAATCCTTTTCCCAAATGGATTTCGTGCTTTGTCTCCATTAAGATCCGATGGATTGTAAAGTTCTCGCTTTTTATGGTCCCGAGGTTCTGTTTAGTGTCTATGGAGCTTCCATGTAAAGTTTGTTGCCATTGGTTATTGTGTTATGGTTCGCAAATTGTCTGAGTACCAGCTTTGAAGTTTAGTTTTGGTAATGAAGTATGGAGTGATTTGGGTTGTTCGGATTTGGGTTTTTCCAGCATGGTGGAGATGTAAATGCGACAGATCACACGGGACAGACTGCATTGCATTGGAGTGCTGTTCGTGGTGCTATACAAGTTGCAGAACTTCTATTGCAAGAGGGTGCAAGGGTAGATGCTGCGGATATGTATGGTTATCAGGTTCATCTCATCTACCATTACTCTTGTCTCTCATGGCGATTGCGCTTGGATTTTGAGATTTGTGTTCGGTTCTTTTTGTCCTTTTCTTGAGACCGTCACTCCATGCTAAGGCTCAAGTTAATAACTGGCATTGCTATGATTACATTTTCAAGTAAGACAGACAATTTGAACAGCAAGAAGTTGAGTTTATGTCCAGTCTATCATTGCAAGTACTAGGTCCTCTTCTTGAGTCAATAGATCTGGAGTCTTGAGTTATTGTTGTTGTACACTCTCATGACTTCCACTATCAAATTTAAGGTCTAGGTTGAATGCCATGGGTTGGCTTCCACTTTAATCTGTTTTTTGCTAGTATTAAGTGTTAGGAGATTGTGACACTTATCAGTATTCTCAACTTCGCTTCAAAATCTCAATAAAGTCTTGGTTTTACACATACCTTCTATGATTTCTGATAAGAATTTGGTCCCGCACCCTTCTTAATTTGTTAAGGACGTTAAATAATCTAGGCCCTGTGTGCTGCATCAAATCATTTTGTTTTGTTATTCGCCAGGATTGCCACCCATTTATGCTGGGTTTTCTTACTTGTCTGTGGAAATTTCTTTATGCAGTATGACTTCAGTGTAGTCTTTGCCTTTGAGGCTTCATCTTTAGTCCTACATATTGACTTAAGTTAATTCACATCTGGAGTTTCTTGTAGACAACACATGTTGCTGCACAATATGGCCAGACTGCGTTTCTTTGTCACATTGTCTCAAAGTGGAATGCTGATCCCGATATACCTGATAATGATGGAAGAAGCCCCTTGCACTGGTAATATACAAACTTGTCTGCTATACTGTTACTAAGGTTAAGATTGTTTTAATTGGTTCCTTTCTTTTTTCCTATCTGGAGATAAAATTTACTTGTTCCTATGGGTACTGATCGTTGGTTTTGTTGGTTCTTCTTTGTGAATTTATCTTGCCAGTTTCATTTTCTCTGTACGGTTCATGCTTCTGGGAACATATGTGGTGCTTTTTAATAAGCTCTTAGAACAGTTGCCCTATGTGCCCAATAAGACGTCTGGTTCTGATATTTTGCTTGGAGCATTCTTTCACAACACAAGTCCTTACCCTGTTGGAGCATTCTTCCTGTAAATGTCGAGAGAAGTTAGAATTGGTTATGTTCTTTGTTCTTGTTCATCCGGGTGAACTCTCTAAGAGGTTATCATAGAATATTTGGGTGGCTGCATTCATTTTTTTTTTGCTTCTTGATTTTTTTTGTATGGTATAGTTAATCTCAAAATTCACTTGTAAATTTTCTTAATTTATCAGAAGACAGTTCTTAATTTTTCTCTCTTTTCTCGCATGTTTGGGGAAAACAGGGCCGGTTATAAAGGTTTTGCTGATTGCATCCGCCTTCTTTTGTTTCTGGATGCATATAGAGGACGACAGGACAAAGAAGGTTGTACTTCATATATAATCAGCAATTTCTTGAAAAAGCTGGTTATTTCTTTATTATCTGAAATTAGAAACTAGAAATTTTGTGAACTATTTGTTCCATTTCGTTGATCATGCTCTCAGGCTGCACTCCTCTCCACTGGGCTGCTATACGGGGTAATTTGGAGGCGTGCACAGTCTTAGTGCAGGCTGGGAAGAAAGAGGATTTGATGATAACTGATAATACTGGGCTTACCCCTGCACAACTTGCTTCTGAAAAGAATCACAGACAAGTTGCTTTTTTCCTTGCAAGTATCCATTATCTTACTGGTTTCTAATTTCCTTTTACTGGACAGTTGATATGACACTTCCATAATGGCACGCTGTTGCGAGAAAGAAATGGCAATAGAATCATGCACTTGCCCTGATCTTTCAATGCTAGGTTCTATAATTATATAAAGATAGAAAATAATATGCATTCCATTAGCCTTAGCACCAACGCCCATAGATGTCTTTAAACGAACTGTTATGGCTAACTGTGTCCGTAGTTTGTCCTAGTTTGGTTTCGGCAAGCCTATAGACTCCTTATGTCTGTTAACATTGATGAACAACACTATTTTAGTGTTCTGAGAAAATTCAAATTTGGTGAATTTATCTTGAACTTTGGTCTTGACTATTATATGCAGGGAAATTCTAGAAGAATGCTTGAAAAGCGGTGTGATGGAAACAGCACCCTTGGGAGATTATCAAAGTTGGGGCTTGCTCCAATACTTTGGTTCATCATTCTGCTTCTTCTTCTCATCTATACCAATTCTGTAGTTTTGGGTATCTGCTTTGTCCTGCTTGGATCTCCTACATGGCACATGCTCATATTAGCATTATAAAAATTCATGTTAGCATACTTATTGTTAATTCGTAAATCCTGTTGTCCTTCTTGCAGCATCCAATCTGCCAAAGCTAACAAGTGGGTTTGGTGCCCTTGCATGGCTGGGTTTCTTTCTAGCAACTGCAGGGTTATTCTTGTTTTACCGGTGTAGCAGGTATATATGCTAACTGTTCTTGCCGTCTTCTCCTTTTTCCTTTTGTTTCTCTTTTAAGAACTATCGTATGTGTACTTTTCTATTGTCCTTTTAGCAATTCGATATTTCAGTCTGTCTGTGTGCTGTTCTTCAGTCTGTCTGTGTGCTGTTCTCCAGTGGAATGTTTCTCTATGAAAGCATTCTAAGATCAGTTTCTTGTTAGTTTCTTCCAAATCGACTATTGCTTACTAGTACTGATAATGTTTGAGTTTGACTTTGACCTACCTTTTATATCCACTGTGGTAGTGGCTATCGTGTTAAGTTTTTGCCTAAATCAGCATGTTGTTCATTGCTGAATGCTGGGAAATTTTGACGAAAATCCATGATTTCTGTTTTGTTTTCAGTAATACCTCGTGTAACAGAAATGGGGTTTCTTATTCTTAGCTTTTATAATTTTCTTTTGCAGCAAGGATCCCGGTTACATCAGAATGAATATCCATGATCCACAGAACATGAAAGATGATGTGGGTATCATTAGCTTTTATATCGAGCACTCTGCTTCTTGAAAGTCTTGACATTCTCTCTTCCAGAAATTGCATTGCAGTTCTTCCTAATCATTCCGGGTACTCTTTCTAGGAACCATTACTGAAAATAGAGCTAAACAACCCTGTTTTGCTTGCTGGGAATTGGACCCAGCTCTGTGCGACATGCAAGGTACCTAAAACCTCCATGAAAGTTTAGCTTCAAATTTATCTATGCACTCATATTGTATTATGGACATTTTTCGTTTCTTTCTAACTACTTGCATTGCTTTGCAAGATCATAAGACCCCTTCGAGCTAAGCACTGTTCTACCTGTGATCGTTGTGTAGAGCAATTTGATCATCACTGTCCTTGGGTATCAAATTGTATCGGAAAAGTAAGTGCAGTGCCCGCTGTCCCGTTTTCGAAGAATATAAGTTGACCTGTCATGAACCTAAATAAACCAGTCTCGAGACACTTTGATTTCATTAAACTTGGAATTGGTCACGGGACAATCTGTCCAGCCTCTTTAATTTCATCTGCTATTTCTTCCAAATATCTTAATTAACTGAACCTCAAATACCTTTTGTATTCAAAGTTATTCGAGGGGATCTGATTGTTTAAATAAAAAGTTAAAGTTGCCTTGTTTGGGTAAATAGATCTCCCAAGATTTCTTTTTTACTGTTTTACTGTGTCTTCTATTGTTTAGCTTGATTGTGATAAACATAAGTCTCCCACTATTCTGATGACTCTTTAATTCCTCAATTTTTTTGCCACTTCTGCAGAAGAACAAATGGGAATTTTTTCTTTTCCTTTTCCTGGAAGTAGTAGCAATGCTGATAACTGGCGGTGTCACTCTTTCAAGTATGTTTTTTTTTGTTAGTGGAAATGGATTTTAACGCTGATCCTCAAATCTAATCCCGGGAAACAAAACTTTCTCGGCAAAACTTATGAACAAATGATTCTTTTCATGCAGGAATTTTGACGGATCCTTCCGCTCCGTCTTCATTTGGAGCATGGCTGAGCCATGTTGGTACTAATCATGTCGGTGCTATGTCCTTTCTGATTGTGGAATTCTGCCTATTCTTCTCTGTCGCCGTTTTGACTGTCGTACAAGCTTCACAGGTGTGTCTTCCCGCCTCTATTTCCCTTTCTTCCCCTTTCTCTTTGATCGTGGATATTCTCTGCTGTAAATGGTCCGAAGCTGTTTTTTAATTCTTCCGGCCACTGCCCTGATATAAGCTACTCCAGGAGAGGTAAAATCTTGTGAAAGTTTCTTAGTTGGTTGTAAAAAATGCTCGTTAGACAACAAGATAAACCCTATTTCCATGGTTTTTTACAGTGTCTATCTTGACCTCTTTCATGGGTTTGGCCAGTGCTTGTTTTGTTAACCAACGTTTCTCATATTCTTACTATTGACAGATATCAAGGAACATAACCACTAATGAAATGGCAAACGCAATGCGCTACAGCTATTTGAGAGGCCCGGGTGGTCGGTTCAGGAACCCTTTTGACCATGGTTGCAGAAGAAACTGCTCAGATTTCCTGTTAAAGGGCTATAATGAAGATATCGAGTGTCGAGAAGAAAGCCCTTCACCTAGAGAAGAAGAAGAAGGCGGTATCAGTATGGTCCAAATGCAGAGAAACTTGAATCTTGAAAACGGAACTAGCATTAGTTCCCACAACACCAATGGGAGCTCCCATGTCGCTATTGATGTTAACAACATCGATCATCATGGTCACCATCATGTTCATTCTTCAAACTGCAGCCATGGTAGTAAGCATGTCAAGTCAAAGAGTGACAGTGTACCTTTGGGTCTGGGTCTAGGTCTTGGCCGTAACCCTTCTCGACCTGTTGTACCTCCATGAATACGGATCTCATGTTCCTCGTTCCTCTGATTGTGCATTTTGTGTTGTATGAAAGCACTTGATTCCTCGTTATTTGGTTCATTCAGATCGATTAAATGGTATTGATAGCCTTTTCTTTCTGATTTTGTTTGTCCTCTGGGGTTCTGGTAATGATGCTGCAGCTGTTTCTTCAAAGACAGGCCACAAAAGGGCATGTTGTTTTGGTGATTTGCACATGGAGGCCATTGTTGGAACTTCAAGCACAGATCAAGAAAGTTTAGCCTGAGATTTTTTGGGTCAGGATCTTATTTGTTTTAAAATTTACTTGTATTCAGGTGGTAATAACAAATGGTATGATTTCCACAGGAATTGTGCAGTGAAATTATTATGTTTTCTTTTTTCTCCCCTTGTATCCTATCAAATGTGATTTAAAGACATGACTGCAAATAAAACAAGCAGGTGTCTCAAAACTTTCAAGTTTCTATCAAACTGAGTTGCACCAAACAATATGTTAGAGTCCCACATCGACCATATGTGTGGATGTACCTGTGGGACTCTAACACAAAACAAAAGAATGCCTATCTCAATATATCTGTTTTCAACTTCACACTATAACACAGTTCTGAGTCAAAAATCCAATGAAGAAGCCATCAAAGCTCTACTATGTATCTCTGTTTCCTTACACAACTCACCGTATGTAGTAGAGACAGTGAAGCTGAAGACAGTATAAACCTCGGATAACCTCTGATGCAAGCACCCGCGAAATCAAACTGGTATTACCATATGATCATTAGACAGGAAAAAGTCGAAAAAGGTTGCTGTGTGTGATAATCAGGATCCGAGGTTTTGTACTGGCAAAAAAACCTGCACCGAAGTGATCCCTTTGTTAGATTGTGTTTACTGGTGATTTCACAACTAAATACTATTCATTCGCCTGGGTTTATGCAATTAGATGAGGCTCTTTGATTATTCTTTCAACTTATCGGTTACTGCCTATTGGAAATGTTTGTTACTATTCCCGAACCCGACTAACAAAGAGTTGCTGCAATAGGTAATCGACAAAAACCATGGCAAAACCTGCACTGAAAAATGCTGAATCCACTAGGGGGCCAAGACACAGATAAAGGCGTTATGCAGTTTCAGTAGCAAATGCAAGAACTCGTCTCGGAAAATGGCGTATATCTGATTTCGCAATGCATGTGAAAAGGCTAAGATCATATAGTTTACTCGGGGTTTTCCACAACCAAAACCTATCATTGTGCTCTCTTTCCCATACTAAAAATATAGCAACAAGAGATTCTCGGGTTTTTGGTGGCGGTAGGAGCAGCTTCTAAGCAAAGAAATTTAACAAGAAAAGAGCAAGCATGTAGATTTTCCATGCACTCTCACTTGAAGCATACTCCAAAACCGAAATCAAGAAATGTCGTGATCGGTTGCATACCTTAAAATAGAAAATTGGCCTCAGAGAATGAACAAGTGTCGTTTTTCTCTTTCGTCGTTTGGATCCCCTCTTCAACCACACTGGATTCCTGTCTCTGACACATGAAAAATATTGGCAATTCTTCTCTTAAATATCGTTTGCAACTGGTCGGAAGGGATATGGGTTCTCCATGTTTTCGCTTCATCTATCTCGTCACACATTTGTACTATATCTTCCATTTGAAATCTCAGATCTGCAGTACGAAAAAAAAAGCTTCGAATGTATAAGTCATGGCAAAATCTAGAAAGGAAAAAACTATAGTTAGATCAAGATCCTCTACCTCTAAGAGTATTATTTGATTCCTTAATCAAGGCAGCACAGGTTCCAGCCACCTCAAACTTCTTCATCGCAGCTTCTAGACATTCTTTCCAGACCGGAAGGCCGATCTTGTATTCCATAACCGATCTCTCGTAAAGTATGGCACTCCATAAAACATTTAGCTGACACGAATCATCTGATATCTTTTCACGTGGCTGGGAGTTGATTTCGTCTACTTGAGAAGAAACTTCTTCACGTGATGTTTTCGCAACTAACTTTCTCCACATTTCTAAACTCTTTGATATGCTGTTCTCAGCCTTCTCATAAAGCTGTAACACAACTTCACAAGGCCATGAACTCAAATCAACATGGCTGAAAATTGCATAATACCAAGAAAGATTTGCCTCCTCAAAACTGCTGCAGGCCGCATGCCAGGAAGGTTTCATAGAAATCTGGCTTTATTCTCATGGCTTCTTCATACTTCTTTCTTGCTTCTACGTGCTCCTTCCGAGCCCATTCGTAAGCGGTTTCGGTCTGCTCTGATACGGATTCTCCATAACCACTTTGTGAAAGGCTCAACCTTTTCCTTGCTCCCGACATGTGGACATGACCCAACTTTAGCAAAGATCTTGCTGCCATTTCTTGGAATTGATCAGCTGCTCTGTCGAAATGTTCTTGAGCATCTTTCGAGGTTACTGCCTCCTCCATAGCTTCGGAGTAAACTTTCTTACCAAGTTCTTGAAAGATTCAAGCATGCATGATGAGCATCAACTTTGACCTGGTTCTTAAACAGCCGGCCAAAATCCGTAATCCAATCTTCGATTTTACATGTACCTTTTCTTTTTACCGAGGATATATGAGTACCAGTCGCTGTTTTGAGCTTCTTACTCTCTATTAATCTTCCGAAAAAGTGGTCCTTATCAGAAGTAACCTCTACAACATAGAACTTCATCGTATCCCGGGTCTTTTCTGATGCATCAGCCATCCTTAGTTCTTCATCAATTGTGATTGTTACGTTACCAAATCCCCTTCGGAGTCCCTGTACTTTATATGGACTGCCATTAAGCTCGGAAACCTCTCATGAATAACTTCCTTAGTTGAAAGAGTACAATTTAACGGTAACTCGGCCCATCTCACATCTTCAGCATACACCAATTTCACCATCTTCTTTACCTCTTCAACGCTTTTATCCAGTACTTCCTCTGAAATGATCTCTTTATCATGTTCGTCTCTTGTTTCTACTCCCGCATCTACCCGTTTCTCTCTTACTTTCTTTTTATTCTTCTTTCCAATAACTCTTTCCTTGCCCGTTTCCTCATCCTTACTCTGAACCTGAATCTGGTTGCTACCCTTCTTTTTCGTTTCTCGTGTTTTGTCTTCTACAACCCAAAGTGCAGCAGAAGCTTTAGCAGGCTCGACGTAATCTGGAGGCAACTCTATCACCGAATCTTTCACCCGTAAACCTTTGCTCTCAAGGGTACTCTTTAACTTATCCGAGATTTCTGATGCCATTGGATTGTTTTGATCCATCTCCAAAACCATACAAACGTCTCTTAGAGCCAAATCTAACTTATTCAACACCTCATAGCACCTTGCTCTCTTCAACAAGGCTTTGCTATGATTAGGAGTAACCTTAAGTGCAAAGTCACATTCATGGATTGCTTTCGGGTATTCACTCGAACCCAATTGCATATAACAGGAAGCCATATAGGCCCGGATATGAGAAACTTCTACGTGATCCCTCGGAAGTACATTGATCGCTTCCTCGTACTTAGACATTGCCCCTCTATAATCCCTCTTCTGAAAGAACTTGTTCCCCTCCTCTTTCAAACCTTGTCCCCTTATTACACAATCTACTGTTTTCTCCAAGTTATTATTATCTCTATCACCACCATAATCAGCCACTTGATTTGTCTTCGTTCCGCCATCTTCAGATTTCCCTGCATTCTGCAACGTGTTCTTCCCCATGGCTATTCCCAGAAAGAATGCACAGATGGGGAGATTCCAAAATCAAGACTTAGCTCGCGCCCAATTCAAAACTCTACTTTAAATGATAAATACAATGAAACCCAAAACGAGATTGATGTTGAATTCGTGTGAGCTTCAGAGAAAAAAAAAACTATACAGATCAATTCGAGAAATCTGGCGATGGAACAGTTTGCACCAGAGAACCTATACAAGTGTTGGAATGCCTCTCTCGGAATCGAGATCCGTAATGGGTAATGGAACAAAATTAAGGAAACGCGCAATTTCGGCTCCCCTCTGGAACAAGACGAAGCTGTGTCAGGAAATCTTATCAGGAGATGGTGGTTTTCTCGGGAAAAAGCATAGAACTTCCCGGGAAAAATTCGGGGAGCATGTGAAGAGAGAATTCGGTGGGGATTTGGGGGAGAGATGATGGAGAAGGATTCGAGCATGTGGGCTTTGTGCATCTGAAATGAGAAAAGATTTCTGACAAAGCTTTCATCTAAAAGAGGAGACAAAAGCTGTTGTGTCACAACAAAAAGCTTCATCGTTGTGGGTTACGACAGAGACAAAATCTCAAAAGGTAACTCATTGTTTTTTCTGTGGAAGTCGAATCGGAAACATACTTGCAGTTACATGAACTATAATTTAGTTGTCGGTTTCTGAGTTTTGGTTCGTCTTTTTTTCGATTTATTTTGCTATAGAAAACATTTACCAAACAAAAACCCGATAATATGGATGACTTTTATTTTAAGTTTTTGGCTTTTAATTTTTAGATTTTGGTTTTTTGATTCTATAATATTTTTAAACCCAAAATGTATTTTTTGGTTTTTATTAACTTTTTCACTAAACTAATTTTCCAATTTTTTAACTTTAGTTTGAATGGTAGTTTTCTTGGTTCCATTATAGAAAAATCGTACCAAATAGAATCCAAATAGATTTCAATTTGGTATGGTTTGGGCTACAAAACTATTCATCGATCATAAGCCTCTGCGGCAGTCCGAACAAACCGGTTCCGGTTTGGCATATCGGAGTATAAAATATTTTATCTGGATTTGCGATTGTCATCCAAACCGCTCGTCGGGAAAAAAAAGAAGGTATTAAGATGTGATCTCAGTCGTTGGTATTATGATTCAATATGAACCGTTTGATCAACAAAAATCATCTGAACCGTTGATTTATGGGAAACGATTAGGACCGTCCGATAGAGAATATGCGATGACAACCATCGACGGAATGTAATTGATATCAGCCGTCCGATCTACAACAACAAATCTCAATCATTGATTATTCAACAAATCTGATCGGCCGACAGTGTGATTCGATCATGTCTGTCCATTATTAAGGTTAAATCTCGATCATCGGTTTTCCTTCCTACACCGAAATAATCAAAATCCAAATAAAAAACCGAACTAAACTGTACATCGTCTCTAGTCCTTGAAAGGGCCAAGCCTGTACAGAAGATTTTTTGACATTGAATTTTTGCATAATCACAAAGTTTTTCATTCAATATCATCATTTTACCACATCGACATCATTTTTCATATAATGCAAAACATATCCCGGTTTACTTACAGTGATTAACTTTCTCTCCGCGTCTGAGATTTTACAGTGCAGTCAAGTATTGCTGTACTCATTTGGGACGAAGCCCAGAATACACACACATAAGGAGATTGTTGGGAATTAGACATAAGAACTCTCGCTGTATAAATATTTTATGATGACAACGTCTATTGCAACGATATCATAATTAATGAAATCGAAAGAGAACCAATTTTAATGTGGAAAACTCTTCCGATACGAGAAGTAACAACTACGGAACCATAGTC